TTCTGTTTGTTGTGTCTTTGAAGACTTTATAATTCACTTTTTTTTATGCCATTAATTTGCTAGAGAATCAAGTTATTTGTCCTTTCTGATTTGGTTGTTTGCTTCATTGTGGTGTTAACTTCTCTGTCCTCTATATTTCTTGTAACTTGGTTTTAGATCTTAGACAATTGATTAGATTCGGAATCTTTTTTTTTTTTTAATTATTTATTTTGAGAGAAAGAGCTCGAGCAGGGGATGGGCAGAAAGAGAGAGAGAGAGAGAGAGAGAGAGAGAGAATCCCAAGAAGGCTTTATGCTGTCAGCACACAGCCTAATGCAGGGCTCAAATTCATGAACTGTGAGATCATGACTGAAGCTGAAGTCGAATGCTTAACTGACTGAGCCATCCAGGAGCCCCTAAATTTTTTTCTTTAGCCAAAAATATATCACAAGTGATGCTGTATACTTCCTGGCTGTTAGTGTCTGGATATCCCAAATACAGTGGAGCTAAGATTGGTCAGTAGACTCAGATGTTGTAAACCTGACCCTTCATTGTAAAGTTCCTTATCAATCTTCTACCTGATGATTTTAGCCTTCACTGATGATTGTTGCTTAGCTCTGTGACTGTATAATAATGAACTTTCTACTTCAATCATTTCTTCTTCATTTATTAGCTGATATCCGTCTATAAGGAAGAATATCCCCCTCATTAATTATTTGATAACACTGGAAAAACAATTTCCATATAAAAGACAAAATAAACTTAATTTTCCCCCTTTATTTATTATATTCAGTCATGAATTGGTTCACTAGAAACCTCTAAGTGATAATTTTGTTTAGATAAATGTATGGATTTTATCTATTTCGAGTGTTTCAATCCATTGCAGTCATTGTTCTTTTTGATACTCACATTGTCCCATCTTAAGCCAAATGAGAGTCCCTTCAAGTTGGCTCCTATGTCCTTTTAACATGATTCCCATTGACATAAGATGAACCTGGGACATCTTTCTTTTTTTAAAAAGTTTTTATTTAAATTCCAGTTAGGTAACATATAGTTAGTTTCAGGTGTATGATATTCAACTCTTCCATACAGCACCCAGTGCTCATCACAAATGCACTTCACCCATTTAACTCAAGACCCATCCACCTCCCTTCTGCTAACAATCAGTTCTGAGACATCTTTCTTGATAACTTCTTAGATTTCATCTTCTAGGTACTCAGCCACCATTTCTCCATGGATGCTTGGTTCTTTTTAATGGAAAATGATATTTAGGGACCACAAACTGAGTACTAGGGTTGTTCATTACTATTTTTTATAGTTTGTTGTAAAATCGGTTTCCATATAACACCCAATGCTCATCCCAACAAGAGCCCTCCTCCATGCCCATCACCCCCCTTCCCCTCTCCAACACCCTCACTTTGTTCTTGGTATTCAAGAGTCTCTCATGGTTTGCCTCCTTCTCTCTCCCCAACTATTTTTCTCCCTTCTCCTCCCCCATGGTGCTCTGTTAAGTTTCTCCTGTTCCACTTATAAGTGAAAACATATGGTATCTGTCCTTCTCTGCCTGACTTATTTCACTCAGCATAACATCCACCTTGCTACAAATGGCCAGATTTCATTCTTTCTCATTGCCATGTAGCATTTCATTGTATGGATAAACCACATCTTTTTGATCCATTCATCAATTGATGGACATTTTCATTACTATTGAGTCTACATTGTTTCTAGGTCTTTTGGATGACAGAATTCTTTTTTAAAGAAAAAAATTTATAAGTTCATATGGATATTTCCAAATCAAAGTTAAGATAATATGATTTGGGGGCACCTGGCTGGCTCAGTCAGTAGATTATGTGACTCTTAGTCTCAGGGTTGTGAGTTTGAGCCCCATATTGGGTGCAGAAATTACTTAAGAAGTTAAAGATGACATGATTTTTACTTGACTTGTTTGATTTAATATTTATGTCTATTTTTTCTTATGCTGAAAAGTTTAGTTCTGATGACATTGTCATAATTATTTGTTTAATCCTAAAATACACCATTAACAGTTTCAAATAAGAGCAATTCTGCTAATGTTAGTAAAATTACTGACTACAATGTATGTCTCCTCATGTCTTTGCCAGAAAAAAACACAAAAGCATTTTGCTTTTTCCACTTAAAAATATATTTTGATGATCACAGACTGTCATTACATAGAGATCTCTCCTTATAGCTGCATATTACTCCATTGTTGTGGATGTTTATTTTTAATGTTTTTGACAAACTTCACATTATTCTTCATCTTATTGTCTGTTGAATGCTTGTGATAATCTACATATTCTAGAAGGGTTATAATTAAACCACAATTCCTAATAATCTGGCTAAATTTGGACAGAATGCAAATATTGGAAAAAAGTATAAATTTTCAACTATAGTACAGTAGTTTGAATACCCACCGACTGAGAAAGGAAGAAGGACTCCCAAAATGTAGGGAGGGAGAATCTGGCCTGAAATTGTCTATAACCTGTAATTTTACTGCTTGTTAAAAAATGGCTACTATTTGTCTTAATACAGATAGATTCCCTGAAAACAGAGCCTGAAACAAAAGCTTATGTGCTAACACTTAATAATTTTGAGGTGAGGTGTTATGTGCAGTCCCAAGGAAGTAGAAGGGAGGGGAAAAGGAAGCAAAGCAGAGGAGGGAGAGCAGATACATGGAGTATGTTTCTGAGCTGGCCTCACCTCCCTAACAGACATTGTTGGTATCACAATGGTGGCAGTGAACTCTGCAAGACTTCCTCATTTCACCATTGTGTCACCTGGTCCTGGCAGGCTAGTGCCTAGGCACAGGAGTCTCTCCTTGTCAGTCAGCTTCATGTGTGGGGGCTCTTTGGTCTGTGACAGGGGAAGGTAGAGGTAACAGTGGTCATGCTTTGAGACAACATAGCAGGCTTCTCAAGCCATGAAACTGACGAGGTTGCTGAGACAGGTCCAGCCAACCTGGAGTGGTATGAGCCTTGAGTCCAATTCACAATTCAAAATGAAATCTGTCCCTACTCAGAAATATTAGATAATAAAATTTGTTTTGGGCACAGAACTAGAAAACATCTTTTTTTCAATGTTTACTTATAGGGGCACAGAGAGAGGGAAATAGGATCCAAAGCAGGCTCTGCGCTGACTGCAGCAAGACCAATGTGGGGCTCAAACCCACAAACCCCGAGATCATGACCTGGGCCGACATCAGACACTTAACCAAATGAGCCACTCAGGTGCCCCTTGAGCTAGAATTAAATGCCATCTAATATTTTTCTTTGACTTTATTTATTTGTTTATTTGTATTTTCAATATGGAATGCTACATGAATTTGTGTGTCATCCTTGTGCAGGAGCCATACTGATCTTCTCTGTATTGTTACGATTTTTAGTATATGTGCTTCCAAACTGAGCACTTACTTGACTTTAAAGAAGACTGTAAATAATTTTTGAAAATTCTGAAGGGTATTTCACAGTGTCCCTGAGTAGCTCATCTAGTATCTAAACATAGCATTTCTAACCTTAAAAGCATCAGTCTATTCTATTTAAGCAATTTGTGACTTAGGTGAATAACCCCCTAGCTAGTAAAAATGCTAGCCATTTAAAAAATCTAAAACTTATGATAATTAGAGGGTGATAAGGAAAAACTGTCTCACGCATGCTCTGGGTTTTTTAATGATAAAATTCACAATCTCCTTTTAGGCAGAAGTCAGCATTTCTCATAAAATGTATTATAATCAAATTATGATAAATTCTAACAGAATTAAGTATTCTGAGAAATTAACTTCTTTCACTCTCTGTTGATTGTTGGTCAATTGTTTGTATTAGTTTAGCAGGTCACTTTTTTAAACTAAATGTCTCTAATTTGAGTGAATCTTTAAATTGGCCTGTTTTACATCTCTTCTCTTATGGCAATGTTGAAATAAAACTTCAATACATACTCATATTTAAATTATCTGAAAGTTTTAAAATAAGTACCAACTTACTGAGGTTCAGATATCAAATATACATAAATATTGCTGTGGTAATAGTCATGACTCATTTTTCTCCCTTAACAATGCTGTGTGTGTGTGTGTGTGTGTGTGTGTGTGTGTATCCTACATTCTGTCTCACTCTGATTAGTGCATTATGGTGGCATTAACATTAGGAATCTATGAGAGAAAAAGTTCTGTTCAAACACTACAAAATTAGCTCAAGCTATTTCCTTGACGCGTCATGCTATTAATATGGTAAACATTAATTACATTCATGTGGCAGGAAGGGGTGGGGAAGAAATGGGAAGAAGGGAGAAAGAGAAGGAGATATTTCATGCAAACTCCTCTCTCCCCACCATTGGATAATATCATTATTTGTATAGTAAAAACAACACAGGTGCTTACTAGGTCATTTTTGAATCAGTGAATGGATGACTACTGCTCTGGGGCTATTAAATATTATATACTATTGTTTGGAGGCAAAGACATAGAGAAGCTATTTTCTTGTTCTATGATTCTATGGTTTCTTTGACTACTAAAAGTTGGCTAGGTTGCAAATTTATTTTAAAGTCTGAGAAGCAAAATGCTTTCAGATGAAAGGCAGGGAGAAAATACTCTTCAACACGTCCACTTTAGCACCAGGAAGCCCAATCAATATCATTATCATTTACATGGATCAGCAATGTAAATTCATAAAAGCTCAGCAATGTAAATTCATAAAAGCTATGTATACTAACAGCACTAACTTATGCCTGGAATAAGAAATTGGTGCCAAAACTGATCCTATCCAGTATTAGCTGTCCTGTTTTCGGTTGTGCACGCAAGAATGCAGGCGGCCACCTTTCCGATGTAGTTTCTTGCACTGATAAGGAAAAACTGCTGAAGTCATGAGGCTGCTCCGCTCAGAGCCCTCATGTGAGTCATATGAAAGCTCCAGCATTACTGACCTCTGGCAAAAAGGGAGTGAACGAGAACAGGAGAGGCAAAGGGGAGAGGGGAGAGGTTCAAGTGCGGGTTTTCTCCTTGAACCTAGAAGATTATGGGTCAAGAGCTGTGTACAAAGACTCTCCAGCCTGGATGCAGCTGCCATCGCTGTTGGGAGGGAGGCGAAGCACACAGCTGTCAGAGGACTGCGCCTGTGCCGGCGGAGCCTGCGACCGAGGTATTTGTATCCCCGGAGGAGCATCTTCCTCTGTTGATAAACTAAGGAGCTCAGAGAATCCCTTTTTGGAGCAGAGTCTGATTTCTCTGTGGTGGGTCAAAACCAATAAAAAGAAAATTCTATTAAAGTCATTGAGAATTTATGGCTGTTGCTATCAAGTTTGGGGATGTTCTTGTAAACCAGAAAGGAAAAATAATCCTATGCTTCGGGCTACACGAAACTCTGACTCGAAGTTGAGAAAGTAGTTATTCTCTTGGAATATCTGAAGTACTAAGTTACAGAGCTGAGCCCCAGAAAGCAAGCTGCAGTATTGGTATGCTATGGATTCAAAATCATGATTAGCTTATGGTTATTAGCAATGACATACTAGAAAATTATTCCCCAAAAGAGATAAATTAAGAGAACATGAAAAGACAAGACTGAATAAAACAGAGAAAAATTGGAAACGGTCCATCAGAGAGATTTAGGTTAATCTAAGTGTTAAAGAAATATTTTTAAGTGAAGAAACAATGGAGAGTTTTAGCAGGTGATATCATTATGGTCTTTTTTAAGGATGTGACTTTCAGGAAAGGATTTGCTTTTGGGGTGTAGGAGGCTTAGAAAACATCTGAAGAGTAATAACATTCAGGTAAATAAAGGAAAAATGCTTTATGCCAGCCACTGAGTCTTGACTTTGCATAAATTTTATTCCTGTACTCTCTTTTTTCGCTAGCTAACAGACCTAAAAGAAGCATCATGTTCCATGACTTCATTTCACCCCAGGGGACTTCAGGCCATCCGTGCCCGGAAGTACAAGAGTAAAAGGCCACGGAGTAACAGTGATTCTTTTCAGGAAGAGGATCTGAGGCAGGGTTTTCAGTGGGTGAGTGAACAGCTGATGTTGAAGTAGAAGGATTTAATATATGCTTGTCTAGGAAGCTGGCCTTTACTTTCAGGGCAAGTACTGAGAGGGCCTTCCCAAGTATACTTGGGCAATGCTGTCTAATTTCTCTGGGAAGAAAGTCAACCCTAAAAAATGTGTTCTTTCTTTCTTTCCCACCTCTCTCCCCTCCCCCATTCCCCTTAAGCAGAGGAAGAGCCTCCCTTTTGGGGCAGCCTCATCTTACTTGAACTTGGAGAAACTGGGTGAAGGTTCTTATGCCACAGTTTACAAGGGGATTAGCAGGTGAGTGACTCATAAGTGGGAGAGACTCTGGAGATGAGGCTCCCACCCCTCTGATTTGAAATTATGGAGCCAGGTGACACATGGCAGAAGTTCAGGACCGGTATAAGACACCATAATCAAAAGCAAGATTTATAATAGAAAAAGTTAAAAAAAAAAAAAAACAAAAACAAAGTAAAACCTGGTCACAAATGCCCATTGATGGAGTACTGGCTAAATAATCACCATGCAGTGAAATAGTGTGCAGCCATCTGAAGTATGAAGTACATGTACTAATACAAAAAGATGTCCAATATTTTAAAAGACAAAGCAAATTACAGAACTATATGTATCCTATATTCTCATTTAGAAAAATTGCACTCAGTTGTACTATACATGTATAAATTTATATGTGCATTGAGGAGTCTGGAAAAATGCAGAAGAGATTGTGAAAACTAGTTACTTCTAGTGGCTAAAACTGTGGGCAAAGAAAGATTACTCAAACTTTTCACTCTATTCCTTACCACAAAGGCATTACATTTATAATTTTAAAATAAGTTAAAAAATATCTCAGAAATGGATGCCAAATAAATTCAACATCAATTACTACTTTTTAAGACTGAGTGGGCACCTGGGTGGCTCAGTCAGTTAAGTGTACAACTTTGGCTCAGGTCATGATCTCACAGTCCGTGGGTTTAAGCCCCGCATCAGGCTCTGTGCTGATAGCACAGAACCTGGAGCCTGCTTCAGATTCTGTGTCTCCCTCTCTTTCTGACCCTCCCCTGCCTGCTCTCTGTCTCTCAAGATAAAATAAAGACATAAAAAAAAAAACTTAAAAAAAAAGACTGAGCAAGATAGGAATAGCATGATAATTCCTCATTATGATGTAGAATATTTCAAATCAACAATCCACATACCTTCTTAGTTAAATACTAGAGACACTTCCACTGACTCAGAGATAGGAGAGGAATGCCCATTATCCTTCACTGTTAAAGATTATAGTAAATATTCTAGCCAAAATGACCAAAAAAACCCTGAATATCATTTTCGTGGATTACAGAATTTTCTACCTAAAAAGCCCAAGGCAATCATCTAGGAAACCAGTAGCAGCAGTAAGATAGAATAAGGTGATCAGTTACAAAATCTAAATAAACTTATCAAAAGTTGCCTGAGATATTAACAATAACCAGTTACTAGAAATATAGTAAGGGAAGTTACTCTCACAATAACAAAAACAAAAAACATTAGTATCAAAAAATGGGCAAGGGTTTACTAAGGGATATAAAGACTTGAGACAAAGTCAGACAGGCATTCATTCATTCTACTAATATTTATTAAGCACCTGTCTGTTCCAGACACTCTTTTAGCCAATAAAGATTCATTGGAGAACAAAGGTGACAAAATTCTTGGCTCTTATGGAGTGTACATACTAGTCACAGTAAGATAGGCAATAAACAAACTAATGAAAGACTGAGTTTGTCAAAGAGTGAAAAGTGCTTTGGAAAAGAATAAAATGGTGAAGAGGGATGAGGAGTGTCAGAGTGGGGTGGTGGATGACTATTCTAAATAGAGAGATGAGAAGGGAACGCTTGAACACAGATGCTGACAAAGATAAGGCCTGAGCCGTGTGTGTGTGTATGTGTGTGTGTGTGTGTGTGTGTGTGTGTGTAGTAGAAGAGAGCCTCATGCAGAGGGAACAGCAGGTAACAGATCCCTGAGGCAGGAGGAGGCCAGGCAATGGAGTGGAAAGTGGAAGGACATGCAGACAGGAAAGAGCTGCAGTTGCAGTATATTGGGTATATCAGGTCTTATGGATTATTCCAGAGACTATTAAAGTACAGAATATTTGAATTAGAACATCTAATAGTGCAAAGATGTCAGCAATTCTTTAATTTCAAGTTTTAATATTTTCTATTCTTTAAATTAATTTGTTTATTTTGAGACACAGAGAGAGTGTGCATGTGTGTGCGTGCGCACACACACGTGAGTGGGGGAGGGACAAACGGGGGAGGGGGAGAGAATCCCACACTTGATCTTAGCCAAAAGGCCCAGAAGCGATTGGAGGGGGAGAGAATCCCAAGCAGGCTCCACACTGTCAGCACAGAACCTGAGGTGGGGCTAGATCCCACAAACCATGAGATCATAACCTGAGCCAAAATCAAGAGTTAGGATACTCAACCGACTGAGCCACCCAGGCGACCCTCAAGTTTTAATATATTCTCAATATGTTCAAAACCTACAATAATTAAAATAGTTTAGTATAAGAAAAGACAGATCAAAGAAATATGATTTTTTTAAAGTCCAGAACAGTCACAAACCCAAGTATATGTAATACATAATTTAATATATACATCTAATATATAATCAGGGTATATATGTCAAATCACTATCAAGTCAGTGGGGAAAAGAGGACAGTCCAATAAACAAAGCTGGGATGATTGTTAGCAACTTGGAAAAAAGTAAATATACAATATGAATTCCTAGTAGATTAAAGAGCTAAATGAAAAAGAAGAGATAAGAACTGGAAGAATAGAGAGAGGCATTCTGTGTAACCTTTGGGCTGGAAAGGTCTGTCTCTACAAAATACTGAAGTCACAACCCTTAAGTGTCCATGGTGCCCCATCTACCCATGTATGTTCTAAGGAGCCCTAGTTTTGAGAGAACTTCGGGTATTTTATTGAAAGTTACCATTGCCAAATTGTTGCAGGGAACCCTAAAACAAAATAAAAAATGTGATCCTTTATTATAGATGCTCTCAGCATCTTTAAAATGATAATGTGTACTGTGACTGTCTAAGAAAGATTAAGAAAATTTTAAAAAATTGTCTAATGTTTATTTATCTTTGAGACAGACAGAGAGAGAGAGAAAGAAGTAGAGGGGCAGAAAGAGAGGGAAACATAGAATCCAAAGCTGACTCCAGGCTCTGAGCTGTCAGCACAGAGCCCAATGCAGGGCTTGAACTCACAAACTGTGAGATCATGACCTGATGCTTAACTGACAGAGCCACCCAGGTGCCCCAACAAAAATTTTAAAGTATAAAGCATTTTCTAAACATATTTGACCAAGAAACTGTTTGGGGAGGTGGGGAGAATTTCACAGAGGTATGCTCTGAGTAAAACATTTTGGAAAATATTGAACTTCATAAAAATTTTAAAGTTTCAAATTTCAAAGACATATTAAAGTAGACAAAAGAAATTGGTGAAAAGTAAATGCAACAGATTTCCATTAAAAAGATATGCAAAATACTTCAAAATTCATTGCAAATGAGCAAATCGCAAAAGAACAGAAAAAAACAATAAACAAGATAATTCAGGTCCACAAATAGTTAAATAGAAATTAAAATGTGATAATCCTTTTTAGGAAAATTAAGCAGGCAAAAAAAAAAAAAATGAAGATAAAAGTATGACCCCAAAAAACAAACCCCACATTTGTAAGGGTATGTCAAAGGGACACAGGAACCAACTGAAAGAGCTCCCAAAGGACAAATATGGAAAAATTTGAGCAGCAAAATAAACTAATACTGGATTATAACTCAAAGTGTAAAATGAATATCTATGAGTCTACACTGGTATAAATAAATGGCTCAATAAATCAATAAATGAGAGAGAAGAGACAAATTTCCTGTGCAGCAGACTTCCAAGTAATTTATATAAATAATCCACCCTCAAGGAAGTGAAGCATAAATCCCTGCTCTTAAGTGTGACCTACTCATAGTGACGTTCTTCGAAAAGTACACTGCAGAAAGGGAGTGGGGGGGAGGGAAGAACTACAGTGAAGAAACCTGACAGACACGACCTTAGCCTGGTGATTAAGGCCAATATTAACATCAAAAATTCTGATGATAGTATGTATCCTTAATATGATGGGATGAAAATGGTACTTTACCTTCTCAAAATTCATATCACCAGTCTAATCATCAGAAAACCATCAGAAATATTGCAATAGAGAGGTATCCTACAAAATTTTTCACCAGTACTCCTCAAAACTGTCCTGGTCATCAACAACAAGGAAAGTTTAGGAACCTGTCACAGCCCAGAGGAGCCTGAGGAGACGTGACAACTATATATAATGTGGTATCCTACATGGAATCCTGAAACAGAGAAAGGACATTAGGTAAAAACTAAGGAAATCCTGGGGGTGCCTGGATGGTGCAGCCGGTTGAGTGTCCCCCTTTCAGCTCAGGTCATTGTCTCATGGTTTGTGAGGTCGAGACCCGTGTAGGCTATGCACTGACAGCCAAGAGCCTACTTGGGATTCTCTCTCCCCCTCTCTCTGCACTTCCCCACTCCCCCCTCAAAATGAATAAATTTAACAAACAAACAAACAAACCTAAGGAAATCCTAATAATCATACTGCAATATATAAGTGTATCAAATCAACACATTGTATAGCTTTAACCTACAAATTCTGTCTGTCAATTATATCTCAAAGTCAAAAAGACTAAGATAGATAAATTTATTGATTTCATAGTTATACATATCTACCATGATATCTACTTTAAAAGAAATAAAAAGAAAGCATTTTGAAATCACATTGGAAAACCATAATAAACTTATAAATATTATTTTAAAAGGCAATATGTAAGAGCAAATAAATTTTTAAAACTTAAAAATCATCAGGGTGCCTGGGTGGCTCCATCAATTAAGCATCTCACTCTTGATTTCCGCTCAGGTCCTGATCCCAGGGTTGTGGGATTAAGCCCACATCGGGCTCTGCATTGAGAGTGGAGACTGCTTAAGGTTCTCTTTCTCTCCCTCTGTCCCTCTTCCCTCCTCACGCTCTCTCTTCTCTCTCACTCTCACTCTCTAAAAAATAAAATAAAATAAAACTTAAAAATCCTCTGTGAGGCATGGGGATGGCTCAGTTGATTAAGTGGCTGACTCTTGATTTTGGCTCAGTTCATGATCTTACAGTGTCAGGCTTCATGCTGTCAGCATGGGATTCTACTTCTCTCTCTGTCCCTCTCCTGCTTGCTCATGCTCTCTCTGTCTCTCTCAATGTTAATAAATAACTTAAAAAAATCATCTATAATCCATCACTCTAGCATAGCAATTGCACATGCACATTTTGTCTTCTACTTGCAGTTTATTTAAAGTAACAAACATGGTGTGCTTGCTATTTTGTATTCTATTGTTTATTTTATCATGAATATTTTCCACTCTCTACATGTCTCTGGACTTGAGCTTTTGACATGAATTCAAAATATTCCATTGTGTTGATGTACCACACATTTTTAAATTGTTCTAATGTTGCACATTTCAGCTACTTCTATTTAGTTCTATTATAACACAGTAGTGAAAATCTTATGTGCATTTGGAATTTAAAAATCATTATTAAATAAGTTTATTGGGAAAAATTCCTGGGTCTGGTACTTTTATGGCTTTTCCTGTGTATTATCATGTTGCACTACCTCCAAAATTACCAATGTATGATGCAGCCCACAAAATACAATACAATGTTACCATAAAAAACTAAATAATTCTTAATAAACTGTAAGCTTTAGTTAATAATAATGTATCAATATTGGTTCATTAATGACAACAAATGTACCATACTAATATATTAATAGTAGAAGAAACTGGATGGGGGTATATGAGAACTCTCTGTACTATCTTCTCAATTTTTCTGTAAATCTAAATCTGTTCTAAAAAATGAAAAATCAAAACAAAATAAAAACTCTGCCCAGTGTTGGCAAGAAAGTGCTGGAATGGCCATTCTCATGACCAATTAGTGGTGTGATCACTCTGTGGCACAATTTGGGATCATGCATTCAAAGACAGTAAAAACTTGTGCATAGCATACTCTGACTTAGCAATTCCAAATCTACCCTAAGAAAATAAGGGCTGTGTGAAAAGACTGATCTAAAAACATGATCATGACTATATTTTCATAATAGTCAAAAGAAACAATTCGAAAACATTTGGAACTGGCCAAGCATAAACACACTCAGTGTATTTATATGATGAAATATTATATCATTATTAAATATCACACAGTACAAGAATGAATAAAAGAAAAATTAAATGGTGGAAAAGCAAGCTACTAATATGATATGAATCTCACTATACTGAAAATCATATATTTATACTTGTATTAAAATCTCAGTTCTCCAGCACTTCACTTGCATCAGTGAACAAAACATTGAATAAGGAGAGAGCGGGAGGAGATTAAGAGAGAGAGAGGTAATGACGGGCTTGGGCAGGTCAGATGGCACCTAGGAGGTAATTTTAAGAATTTGGCTTTTACTCAGAATGAAATGTGACTGGGGGCATCCGGGTGGCTCCGTCAGTTAAGCATCGACTTTTGATCTAGGCTCAGGTCATGATCTCGCAGTTTGGGGGTTCCAGCCCCGCCCCCCCGCATCGGGCTCTGCACTGATGGTGCAGAGCCTGCTTGGGATTCTGTCTCTTTTTCTCTCTCACCTTCTCTGATTTGTGCACACGCGTGCCCACACACACACACACACACACACTTTCTATCTCAAAATAAATACATAAGAAAAAAAATTTAACAAAGTGAAACGTGACAATAATGGTGGGGTTTGAGCAGAGAAGTGATTTGTTCTGACATTCCTTTAAAAAGAATCCCCTGGCTGCTCTATTGAGACTAGACAGTAGGGGTACAAACGTACAAGTAGGGAAACTGTTAGGAGATCACTACAATAATTCAGATGAACAATAAGGATGGCCCAAATAAGTGCACAAAAGGAAATGAAAGGAACAATATACATCAAAATATTATGAGGATGGGTTTAGTGCCTTTCTGTATTCTCCAAAGTTTCTATAATGAGTATATATCTCCAAGGTTTCTATAATGAGTAAAGAGAAAAAAAATATTTTGGTATACATACATATGACTTTTAAAACAGTTTATTTTTAGAATATTTTGGATTCATATGCTGGAATATATTTGGAAGGAAAAGCTACTTTCATTAAACTATCCTTAGTATAAACTGCTGCTATGAACCATCTCAATAAGTGTGTGTCCTCCCCATCCCTCTCCCCACCCCTGACTCTTCCAGGATAAATGGACAACTAGTGGCTCTAAAAGTCATCAGCATGAATGCAGAGGAAGGAGTTCCTTTTACAGCTATTCGAGAAGGTAAGATCCAAGAGATCTATGTTACAGGTCCTTGATTTGGTAAAAAATCCATGGAGTCTATCCATTTGGCATCTAGCTTTTGATATTTCTAGAAGTAATATTATAATTGCAACTGGAGAACAGTATGGAGGCTCCTCAAAAAATTAAAAATAGAACTACCCTATGGCCCAGCAATTGCATTACTAGGTATTTATCCAAAGAATACAAAAATGCTGATTTGAAGGGGCACATTCACCCCCAAAGTTTATAGAAATGCTATCCACAATCGCCAAATTACGGAAAGAGCCCAATGTCCATCAACTGATGAGTGGATAAAGAAAATGTGATAGGTATGTGTGTAGATATATACATACACAATAGAATGTATGTAGATATAGATATCTTCACTCAATGGAATATTACTTAGTGATCAAAAAGAATGCAGTCTTGCCATTTGCACTAACATGGTTGGAACTAGAGTGTACTATGCTAAGTGAAACGAGTCAGTCCAAGAAAGACAAATATCATATGATTTCACTCAAATGTGGAATTTAAGAAACACAACAGATGAATATAGGGGAAGGGAAGGAAAAATAAGTTAAAAAGAGAGGGAGGCAAACCATAAGAGACTCTTAAATACGAAGAACAAACAGGATTGCTGGAGGGGCATGGGGGAATGGGCTAAATGGGTGACGGGCATTAAGGAAGGCACTTGTAGGGATGAGCCCTGTGTGTTATATATAAGTGATGAATCACTGGGTTCTACTCCTGAAACCAGTACTACACTGTATGTTAACTAATTTGAATTTAAATTAAAAAAAATAATAATTGCAACTGTATTCTTCATAATACTTTTCAGAGCATACTTATACTATCATTTTATGGTTTATTCTTGAGGAAATTAAGATGCAAAACTATTCTATTAGTTGAGGAAGCCCATGAATTCAATGAATATTTACTAAATACCTTCTGTGTGTTTGGCCCCATCCTAAAGTACTAAGACTATATCTATATAAGTCCAGACAAATCCATATAAAAAGGGAGAAAGGATAAAACCACACAAATTCTCAGTAAGCAATTTACCTGAAAATCCTAAGTTGTTTCAAAAGCATTTAAAAAAACTCTTTGGGAAGACACTAACTTTAGTGTTGTCCCTCTATGTTCTCTGTACCCTGAGAGTATAGCACATGGGTAAGGAATCTGGTGTCAGATGGACTTGGGTTTGAATCCCAAATTTGCCAACTGGTATGACCATGGTTAGATTACTTTACCTATTTTAGGCCCCATTTATTGCAGAAAGAGGATAATAGTACCTTTTTTCTTGAGTTATAATGAGGATTAAATGAGAATAGGCATATAAAGAACTTACCACATTTTCAAAGTTCAACAAACGTTGGCCATAATTGTTCTATTCTTGTTCTTTCTCTTCAGTGATGTCTTGTTTGCCATCAAGATAACTAATAATTTATAATATAAAAATCAAAATTCAATAGAGTAAAAATAAATCATTAAAAATACAATTTATTAGGGTGTCTGGGTGGCTTAGTCAGTTGAGTATCTGACTTTGACTCAGGTCATGATCTCGCAGTTGGTGAGTTCCATCCCCGCATCGAGCTCTTGGTTGTCAGAGTGGAGCCTGCTTCCCATCCTCTGTTTCCCTCTCTCTGCCCCTCCCCTCCCTCTGAAAAATAAACATTAAAAAAAAGAGAAAAGAATCACCAATCTACAATCCTGTATCACAAAATTATTTTAAAAATACAATTTATTAACATTATTACATGAGCCATTTGTTTTTTAAAAATGTTTTAATGTTTATTTTTGAGAGAGAGAGTCAGAGCATGAGCAGGGGAGGAGCAGAGAGACAGAGGATTGACTGGAAGCAGGCTCCAGACTCTGAGCTGTCAGCACACAGCCCGACGCAGGGCTCAAACCCATGGACCACAAGATCATGACCTAACCCAAAGCTGGACTCTTAACTGACTGAGCTACCCAGGTGCCCATACATGAGCCATTTGAAAACAAATGATGATAGGATTGCTATTCATTTCAGAAAAAAAAAAGAAAGAAAAAAGAAAAGAATGAAAGAAAAAAAATGAAAAGAAAAGAAATGGCTCTTTCTTTTTACTTTCTCCCTTGTTAACTATTTTATTTTCCCCTTCTTTATGGAACACACACTACATGCCCAGCATATTGCTGGACGTTATGCAGGATGAGAAGAAAAGGCCCTGATCTTTCTCTGTATCATTTTCAGTTCTTAACAGAGCAGATGATTCAAGTTACAAGTGTTATAATGGAGGTTAGAAAGAGACATAAACTAACATGAGAACCAGTTAGTCTCAGTGTGGCTAATGGAGTCAGTAGATCTTGAATTGAGCTTGGAAGGATGGGTTATGTAAACAGGCATGGAAAAAGCAATTTGGAAAATGAGTTTATAACTGAATTTGATGCGATTTTCAAAAGTCTTTTAGAACCCTTGGGAAATATGTCATTTAGAATTTGAGTAGAGGGGCCAAATGGCTGTCAGTTTAGTAGGGAATGCATCCTGGTAGGATCAGGTGCATTCTGGAGGAAAGCATGGTTTTAAGTGTTTAATATAATGGAAGCTGCATTTACTAATGTACTTATTAGTGGTCCCCATGAAAGTATGATCAGATTTAGAAGGAGTTGTATGGATAGGTTGAATAGTATTTCTGAACATAATAGAAATCCCCAGGTCACCAATATAATGGGAGAGCCTCTGGCCCAGCTTCACCGCATTTTCATGGTGTTGTCTTTGTGTGTTTGAGCTTGCCTATTACTTCAGGCTTGCCTTGCTCAGATTTTGCCCACAGCCAAGTTTTTCAGGTTGACATTTGACTTAACAATGAAAAATTTTGCCAGTTTTGCTAACAGATGGTTCTCAGCATGGTTCAGAAAAGCTGGATCTGTATTGTTCTGTATGGTAGATGTTTCTTTTATTGCATATTTACTGAGAAATTGCCTCTCCTTCACAGGTGTTTGCAATTACAGTTAGTATTCAGCTGTGGACTTTCTTGGTTTGTTTTATGGACTTACCTTACTGAACGCTTTGCTTCTATAATATTAAAAACCACTAGAGGATTTTTGACACATTGGAGGTTATTAGGCATCCATTTTCCAACAATGAATGTTTCTTTTTCCATCATTGAAAAAGCTGGGAGCCCTTGTTAAAGAAGCCCTCTCCCCTCAAGAAGAGATGAGGCCTCATTTGAAAACTTTGGCACTGTCCCATTTTTCCTGTAAGAACTTTAAGGATGTGAGAACAGGGAGACAGGAGGTTAAATGAGAAGGGATGGAAGGCAAAATAAGAACAGCTGGAGTTCATTAGTTAAAACCCCAGGTCACTAGCTAAAAAGGCAACCGAAAGCCACATGCAGAAAAACTGAACGAGTAATGCAGATTTTTTTTTTTTTTTTTAAAGAAGCCTTGAAGCAGGAATTACTTTTCCTGAACAGTTTGGCTGCTCTGACGGGATATCTGCCAAAGATTTACTGAGTAGGATTTTACTACATGTATGGTCTCTTTATATATAAGTAGAATACATGTGCTGGTTCAGTAATCTGGTCATTTGGAATACTATTTGATCTTAACATGTAATATTATGAAATTAGCAAAAGTAGGAACAACACAAAGGAAAACCTATCTTAATACACGTGCCAGATACTTTTCATATGTTACCTCTTTCAATCTTTTTAACAACCTTTGGAGATAGATATTACTATTATTCTAACATATAGCCATGATTCAAACCAAGTCTCTCTGATTCAAAAATCTATACACTCTCTATGGATATTCTACAAGCATGTATTGAACACCTACCATGGCCAGGAACTCTGTTGGCTTCTAGACACATAGTAGTGCACAAAATAGACATGTTCCCTACCTTCATTCCTTTGCTAATTAAAAAGGTTAGCTGCCTTTATAACAACTGGAAAAAATCTTCCATAACCAGCTCTAGAATTATATTTTAAATGTTTATTTTTACAACTAGGAGAGCAAAAAAAAAAAAAAAAACAACTAGGAGAAAATACTTTCATTTGAATAGGTGAATTTTTAAGCTTTTATGTAAGAACACATTCCCTAGTTTTATGAAACTGTGTATCAATAGCTTAATAATGTGCATTATTTTTTAAAAATATTTTATTTATTTTTGAGAGAGAGAGAGAGACAGCATGAGCAGGGGAGGATCAGAGAGAGAGGGAGGCACAGAATCTGAAGCAGGATCCAGGCTCTGAGCTAGCTGTCAGCACAGAGCCCGATGCGGAGCTTGAACCCATGAACCGCTAGATCATGACCTGAGCCGAAGTCAGGTGCTCAACCGACTGAGCCACCCAGGCATCCCATAATATGCATTATTTTAAGTATCTTTCAAAAAAATAGAAACTTTTTGTTCAAACCCAGGACTTTCAGTCTCTTAGCAGCATTTGTTTAGGAAACAGTCATATAACTAACCTTTTTTGAAGACTAGGCATGTGACAATCTTTTCTCCTCCTTTCCCCCATTATTTTTTTTAAAACACTTATATCAACTCTAAGAGGTAAAGCATATTATTTTTGTTGTGCAGATGAAGGAATCAGAAGTAACTTATCTGAGCCTCAGAACTAGTAATCAGAATTATTAGATATTAGAATCTATTCTATTCTAATGCTACTTTACTATGACAAATTTAGAAATCCGTAACTCAAGCACTTCTCCTTTAGCAAAAGTAAAAATAAAAATAAGAATCTGGTTTTATGATACATTTTGTATAAGCATTAAGCAAAATGCAGAAGAAATATTTTAAAGAAAATAATATTGTACATTTGTCACTTCTGATTCTATCATGTACTCTACAACATTAGTAATTGCAGTGTTTAAATTAGAAACAGTTTTAGTTGAGAATCTGTTAAGACCATTCTTTAATAGAAAACATTACAGGGACACCTGAGCGGCTCAGTCTGTCGAGCATCCAACTTCGGCTCAGGTCATGATCTCACAGTTGGTGGATTTGAGACCCATATCGG